CTTCGAAAATTTCTTTCCGTAGTCCGGGGATCGCGTAAACATCCGCAGTCCGCGCACATCAAAAGACTCGCGGATGTTTATGCATTTATGGTATTCTCGCGCATAAAGCGCACCGGAGCCGAGCGTCTCCCGGAATCTCGATGCGTCAAAAACTAGCCCGAATTCGTGCTGCATAATGCAATTCTCCGTAATCGACGCTCAGTTTTTGTACACAAGATTGGACAATTTGGGAAGAGGAGTCACGATTATTGGGGCCTCGCGACTTGTTTTTGTAGTTTTCGGTTGTTAGTGATTATAAAAATGGGGTTCGAGGCTCGAATAATATAATATAAAATATAATGTAATATAATATAAAATATAATATAATATAATATAATATAATATAATATAATATAATATAATATATAATATAATATAAAATATAATATAATATAATATAATATAATATAATATAATATAATATAATATAATATAATATAAAATATAATATAATATAATATAAACAATACAATACAATACAACACAATACAATATTTTATGATATAATATGATATAATAATCTCTTCTTCCCAAATTGTCCCTTTCTGTTTACATATTAAGCGTCAATTAGGGAAAATTTACTGCATTTATTGCAATTAACACTTGAACCTACCAAACCAATTATCCGATCATTTCTTTAACAATTCCTGATGCAACGAAAATATTTCTGCCAGAAATATTTACACAAACTTCTCCATTCAAGCATACATACATCACAATAAAAAATCGTAGGTAGTTTCAATAAACCGATTCTCGTCATTCTTTTACTAAAACAAAGGAAATCCCGTCTCGGGAAGCCTCGAAAGATATCATAAAAATAGTTCGACCGACCAGGAAACTGTTTCTCTCAGCCACACAAGTTGCCCAGGATTTTTCGTAATCGCGTCCGATTAGAATCTCGTCCGGCGAGAGTGCGGCGATCGAGAAAAAATGCCGGCCGTTGCGTGGAAGCGTGTTCGCAGCTTCGTTTTCCAATCGGCTCGCGATTCGAGCGCTCGAGGTACTTGACCCCCGGCAGAAAAAGGGAAGAAACATCCGATTAAGATATCGCGATTAATGTTCGCGCGGAACGACCGGCGTGGCGGCCGGAGGGGCGAAGGGGGGAGGAGGGAAGGAGGTGAGATAGCGCTGGGCAAAACAACGCTCGCCACCAATGAATCAATATACACACTCGTCTTTTTGACGATGGCCAGCGCGTTCCGGAATAAATCTGCCGCGGCGCGAGGCGCGGCGAGGCGAGACGAGGCGAGACGAGACGAGAGAGAGCCCTTCGCACGTTTACACGCTCGAAACGTCTTCCTCCGTCGAGCCGTTCGTCGGCCCGACGGATGGCCGACCGGGGAAACGCGCCGGGAGGGAAAGAGGAACTCTCTCTCTCTCGCTCTCTCGCTCTCTCGATCGAGATACACTCGCGACAAAGCCGCGCGAGCGACCACCCACTCGCTCCGAATCGCTCGACGGAGTTCTCGGAAGCTGCGTCGGCCGGGCCCGACGAGATGAAGAACCGTTATCGTTGCCGGATTGTTTTTGGACACCGCCGTGCCGTCGACGACGGGTCTTCGATTGTTCCTGCGCTTCGTCGGTAGACGCGGATCTTGGGAATTTTGTTTCGCGATCCTTTGCAACCAGAGTTGTACAAGTGAATTACTATCTAAAAATTACGATTTAAATTGCAATCAATTCTAAAAAATTTGTTTCCTCTTTCGGTAATTCTATAATAATAGTTCTATAACGAATAGAACTGTTTTCACTTTCCAGTGTTTGCATTGCTGTATATTTTTCTTATCAGTTGTTCTAATAATGAAAAAATGCGCAGATCATTCGCCAATTTTCTAGAAAAAATGTCCGCCGTCTCTTCGCACTCTAAATCGTCCCATTTTCTCAAATTTGGAAAAGATTTATCGAATGGGACCTATTTCTTGAATTCCTTAAAATCTAGACATTTCAGCGATATTTTCGATTTGTTAATACTGGATGCAACTAGTTAGCAATTTTTTTTATAAAATTGCAAGTTGCGCTGATTCAGGAGAGAATTTCTTCCTCTCAGCCAGAGAAGCTTTACAATTTGTTGTATAGATAAACGAATATCGATCAATTATTCTGGAACTTTGCAAATACTTTTAGCATACTTCGGCTGCGTTGTCGCAATTTTTTAAGCAATGTTCTTGCAGAAATGAAGTCTACATGCTCCGCGTATCAGCGCACTCTGCACAAAATTCGGCGAAATTTTCTTCTCCGCGTCTCAATATCACATCTGCAACTACGATCGTGAAATTACATTTGTCCAAAAAAAACAGCTTCTTTTCTTGCTCGATCCAGCAAGAAACTCGCGAGAAGCAGCAGCGCTCGCGCGAGAAGCGCGCAGCACGCGCGTTCGCGATCTCTCGGATCGAAGGATCTAATCGGCCGCGATTCGCCGGCGAGCTGTCAATCTTTACAGCCTTGTAAATCCCAAATATCATCGGCAAACGAACGGCGCGGAGCTCGCGCGTACGTATTTCCTGCACCGCGCCGCCCCGCGATCGGGCCAATAAATCAGAGGCGGTAAACGACGACGATCCAGCACGAGCGAGTGGAAACGAAAATTTCCATAAACGTTCGCCGGGAGTCGAGATCCCAGCAGCGATCCACGTGTAATCTCTCAATAAACACTCGGTGTGCAGCCGGGCGAGCCGAAGACAAACGAAAAGTCATCGTTCACGGAAATGAATCCGAACGAAAATAATCAGCGAAGACCGGCCTGACCGACGATCGTCCGCGGGTCACCTGACTTTTAGGGCGATCCTAATGGACGAGGCGTGAACCGCGAGACACATCGGATAAAATAGTTGCCGCGCGGCGAGGTGCGACGAGGGGGGACGGCGGGAGGCAGCGTGCCCCATGAAATTCTTATCGGTGTTCCGCGAACTTCGAGGAACTGCAACTGGCGCGCGGCGGCGAGTGCAGCTCTCGGGCTGCAACCGCGGCGAGCTGCAGCACGGGGACGCGCGGAAACGGGTACGCGAGAGTACAGTCTAGAGAAGCGAGAGAAGGTTTTGCACACGAGCGCGTTTCTACGTGCACGGGAAACAACCGCGGAGAGAGGGGTACACGCTGGACCCAGGCTCCGTGCGGCGCGTAGCTTATGAGCCGAGCAACAAAACCAGTCGTCTCTCTACTGGCGAACCAGCTGCCCGTCGCCCCAGCCTTCTAATCCTCTCGCGATTGTTACCGCGGCAAGACGCTGCACGCGACTACGCGCGAGCCGATTATTCCGCGGAAGTGATCGATCCACAGTCGTCGACGTTCTCGTTCTCGTCGACCGAGAACGCTCTCTCTCGGGCCCTTCCGGTTTCGACTTCGCCAGTGGATCGAAGAGGATCCGTTTTCGAGGATGGTTTGACGAGCTTGGAGAACGTTTGGACGTCGTTGATATCGACGTTTGACGACCATCTTGCGGCCAGTCTCCGGCGAGCACCTTCGCATTTTCCGTAGCAGGAGCGAGGGGGGCAGTTCTGGTGATTAATTCTGTTCGACGTGGTTGGAGATCGTTTGGAAGACCTCTGCGATAATTTCTTCGTCGCTTCGGTAAAGCTTTTTTAATGTTGTTTTTGGTGGCTTCGCGTGCGGTCTCCATTTCTGCAAAAGCATCGAGGAGGAACAGTTCTGGCGATTAATTCTGTTCGACGTGGTTGGAGATCGTTTGGAAGATCGCAGACCGTTGAACTGCAATAATCTTCATCGATAAACCTTTTTAATCTACTTTGTGGCGGCTTCGAGTGCGGTCTTCATTTCAGCGAAAGGATCGAGAAGGAACATTTCTGCTGATTAATTCTGTTCGACGTGGTTGGAGATCGTTTGGAAGACCGTCGAACTACGATAATTTCTTCGTCGCTTCGGTAAACCTTTTTTAATATCATTTTTGATGGCTTCGAGTGCGGTCTCCATTTCAGCGAATGGATCAAGAAGCAACGTTTCATGTGATTAATTCTGTTCGACGCGGTTGGAGATCGTTTGGAAGATCGCACACCGTTGAACTGCACTAATTTTGTCGTCGCATCGGTAAACCTTTTTAATTTCCTTTTCGGTGGCTTCGAGTACTGCCTCCATTTCCGCAAAAGGATCGAGGAGGAACATTTTCTGTGATCAATTGCTGTTCGACGTGGTCGCAGTTTGTTCGATAGACTGCATCGTTAAAGTGTGTTTCACTTGCTCGCATTTTCTGCGTGCTTTGTGGCTGAATCGGTGACTGTGTTCGAAAGCTGAACAATACATTGTTGGACACTGTTGGACATTGTCGGACATTGTTGGACACTGTTGGACATTGTCCGTCGGCCAGACCAGCGAAATAACGGCGCGAGCTTCGAATCTCGAGCACGCTGGTTGATCGGAGGATCGTTCAAGATCAAAGGGAGCCGGGAGACAATCGTCGCGTTTGAAGCGGTTTGCCAGACCGAGACCTTATCACCGCGTTTCCCCGTCCCACAATTCCTCTCTAACAACGTATCCTGTATCCCGTGCGAACATTGTCGCCAAGAATACAAACGATTTGGCACGGTTTGCACCCGTTCGAGCTTTCCCCGCGCGCGCGCGCGCGTTTCTCTATCATCACGCGAACAGAAGTCGACGGATTATTTTCGCGCTCGTGAAAGCTCCGCGCCGCGCCGCACCGCACCGCGGAAATAGCTAGTTCGTTAAACGCATTGTTCGAAAACCGTGCGGCCGGGGCGGCGGCGGTTCGTCGAGAGGCCCGAGAGCGATTCGAGGAATTCAAATCGAAGGGAGCCGGGACACGGTATCTTGTACTTTCCGCGCGCGAGCTGATTAATGATCATCGTTGCTGGCTCGGCCGACTCGCTCGCGCGTTTTAACCGAATAACGAGGAACGTCGGCAGCGAATCGAGCGATCCCAGTTCCTGCAGCGATAAATTGCATTAAACGCCTGTGTACCAGTCTGCAGCCGGGGCGGGGAGGGGGCGCCGAGAGCGGCGCGGGAAGGGGGACACCCGAGATCGTCCTACGCGAGATTGTTTATCCTCGGCGTTGCACACGCCGGATACAAATTTATCTTGCGACTTTGCATAATTTCCACGGATGCGGGCCGATGCGCCAGCTCTCCGCGGACAGAGCTTTTGGAAGACGTTCAAGAGTGCCGGCCGCTCGTGGCACTGCCCTGAAACTGGCATGACGGGATCGACGATGATAAACTCCGGTTACGATACGATCGATAGCTCGTGGAAGAGTCAGTCGATCGCGGGATCGTGGACACTGTGCGATCGTAGGACTCCGTTGAACGAGTGGTAATTTTCTGTCGGAATCCGTTTTCGTATGTTCGAGACTGATGCACAGCGTTTGAGTCCGTAGTGTGGTGAATCCTCTTTAGATCATCGATTTTCGTTCATCTTGAAAGTTTGAAATCCATTTTGCGCGATGTTTGAGACAGTTGGATGGTGTTGAAGGTGATTAGGATCGGTGTAATAATCGTGGCAGCGCGATCTTCTCGTCGAAGACACCAGTTCTCTCTCTCTCTCTCGAGATCCAATTTCCTCCGAAAGAAAGTGTTTGGAACCGTTGGCTGGTGTTTGAACAAGCGTGAACGAACATTCCAAGCGATCGCAGCAGCGTGTTCGCGCGAATAGAACGATTCGTAGGAGTTTTGGAAGTTTGAAATCCATTTTGCGCGATGTTTGAGACAGTTGGAGAGTGTTAAACGTGATTAGCATCGGTGTAATAATCGTGGCAGCGCGATCTTCTCGTCGAAGACACCAGTTCTCTCTCTCGAGTTCCAATTTCCTCCGAAAGAAAGTGTTTGGAACCGTTGGCTGGTGTTTGAACAAGCGTGAACGAACACTCCGAACGATCGCAGAAGCGTGTTTCATTCGTCGTTGGAAATAGTTCGGGATCGTTGGCGAACGTTCGTGGACCAGTAGAATCGGATTAGCGCGCCATCGATGCAACGCATCTCCTTTACAAGAACAGATTCGAGCCGAGCAATTCCCCGGTGTTCGAACCAGCATTCGGACATCTTAACGAACGTAACCAGCCTGGTGGTGGCCAGAGGTGTGTCGACTTAGCGTAACACGATCGTCGACCGTGCGCGCCAGGAGGGAGGCGAGGCCGGGCCGAGATGATTAAATTCCCTCGTCGGGATTTGAAAGTCTAATTCGCCGGCAGCATGGACCCGAAGCAGAAGAACCGTTTGATTCCGATAAGAGAGAAAGCCGGGGACACCGGCCGTGGCTTCAAGAAGAACGCGGACTTCAGGATGAATCAGCAGAACTTCAGGCTGAGCGAGTTCGGCGTCGAGCCGAAGGCTGGTCACGCGACCGAGCAGCAGGCCAAAGTTGCCGCGAGATACGCTCAGATCGCGTGCGTGCAGGTGCCGCAGGTGCAAATGAGACAGGCCAGGCTCGGTCCAGGGAATGGAGGACCGTCGAGCCCTCTGCAAGTTTGCAGCCGGTCGAGACTGACGACGCCGAACAGCTCGAGGAGCCCCAGCCAATCGATCGGCCAGTTGAACGTGGATCAGTACCAGGCGGCCAGTCCCAGCAATTTGACCGGAAGTGGCTCCATGATGCAGCCCAGTGTCTCCTCGGTGCCATCCCCTGGATACTGGAGCCATTACAGCGGACAGGAGAGCGGGGTAAAAGTTTGTTTACTGAGATTGATGGCGGCTGCGACTCGTTCTTCCAGCCCCCCTGGATTTATTTATAAATTGCGAACCGTGTCTGGCCAATTTTCTACATTGTCCTCACCGTTTAATTAACTTCCCGATGTTCGGTGCATCTTGACTAGGTCTCGGTGCTGGTCTTAGATTAGTACCTGAAGAATTTTCTATAATGTTTAACCGTTCAATTAATTCTTATATTAGTACCTGAAGAATTGTCTATATTGTTTAACCGTTTAATTAATTCTTAGATTAGTATCTGAGGAATTTTCTAAATTGTTTTAACCGTTCAATTAATTTCGTACAGTGTATTTTAATTAGATCGATGCTGGTCCTAGATTAGTACCTGAAGAATTTTCTAAATTTTGTTTTAACCGTTTCATTAATTCTAGATCAGTACCCGAAGAATTTTCTCGATTATTTTAACAATTTAAATCAGTCTTTAATGTTCAATAAATTTATCTCACTGAATTTTTCGACAACCTTCTTCGCGACTTTAACAACCGTTTAAGATTTTTCCATTCTACATTGCAAGAAATAATTACGGTCGCTAAAATTGTAGCACTTATCAAACGTAATTTTGTTTAAATATCGAGACAAGACCGTAATCGTTTCGCGACAGCGTTAAATTATGCCGGTGTGCGTGACATTTTAATAGTTCTACATGATCAATCGGGACAATATTCTATTTAAAAAAACACATAGCTGTTGCATATGTGGGTCAAACGAGCGATAAAATTAAGCTACATATGTGTACGTAAATGTGTACCGGTCCGGTGACTAATATGCGGCAAGTCGAGGTAAACAGAGACCTATCTCCGCGGTTTTTAGCATTGTATCGCTATGATTTACTAGACTGCTGATCTGTTTGCGGTCTCGGTATCATAAAGACAACATGTCCATCAACAAGCATTAATGAGAGACATTGAATTCGTTCCCGCAGCAAGAAATCTTCGTGCGGCAACATCGTAAATAAAGCTTTCGTCATTCGAACATTTTTCTGCGACAATCGGTGACAATCACCGGCAAACGACGTTTACGCGAAGCTCGATTATTATGATCAATCTTGTGAACATGGTTGTAGCAGAATAATTTCTTTTGTTCAGCGAAAGATTACTTTTATGCCGAGAAAGAAATTAATACGTACACAAAATTCGTGAAAAATGACACGACCCTTGACATAACAATAATTTTTATATTTTATCATAAGCAACTTCTTAGTTAATCAATGGAGATGCGGATCTTTTTCTTTATATATATATTATAATATAATATTATAATATATTATAATATATTATATAATACTATAGTAAATAAAAACAAAAATTTGTATGAAGCATGGACAATTTTCTAAAGTACAAGTGAAATAATAATAATAATAATAATATATAATAATAAAAGTAATATATAATAAAAATAATATAGAATAATAAACATACTATATAGTAATAAAAATAATATGTAATAAACATAATGCATGATAATAAAAATAGTATATAATAATAATATATAATAATAAAAATAATATGTAATAATAATAATGATCTCATCGTATTCTAATAAAACGAAACATCTCTCTCGTACAGCAATGAAACGGTCTCGTCCGGCCCGAAATGATTGGCAGTGCAAGTGATTAATTAATGGAACGGGATCCGAGGAAGCGGGGAAAGTGCATCGGGTATCCGGGTCGTGGGTGCAACCTGTTAGCTCGCGTGGGTACTTAATCCGGCCGACGTCGAGCGGTGCGAAAATTCGCGGGGCCCCGTCGGAGACAGGTAGGACAGTTTTACGGTTCTGGGTACCTGCTATCGGGAGTTCTCGGCATTTCCGTGCGTGCAGCGCGGTCGGGGCCCGTGCCGCGCCAGTCCCGTCGATTAGTCCCAGACGGTCTAGGACCGGTTTAGTACCCGTACGTGACTTCGAGCCGGTTCCGAACTTTTATTGAACCGACGCGGCGCATACCGGATGCACTTGCCGCCGTTTATTCGCCGGGAACTCTACCGGCCGGCCGTACCCAGCCACACCGACCTTTTCTTAGGTTTCTCGGCTGGGCCCCATTGTCACCGGCTACGACCAATTCTCGAGACGTGCGTGCATCGTGCAACCCTCCCGACTGCCGTCCTGCAACGAGGAGGATTATTGCACCGTGTTACCTGCTCGCTCAGCTGGCTAACTACCGGAGGCTGCTGACCCGTTTTATGGCAGATCCGTCGGAAAATAACCGTGACCGAGCCGACCGTTTCTCTCTGCCGAATATTCGTTGGCCGAATACGAGCCCGGTATATTGCATCAATACAAATTTTTGGCTCGTTTTTTCTGCCGCTTCTTTGCTTCGGGAACGCCTCTTCTTCGCATCGTCTGCCGAGCTTCCTCGGGATTTAATTCCGTTTCGGCAAAGTTTCAGTTTTGCGAACGCGAATTAGTTTCTTTCATTCGATCAACAATTATCTTGGGTTTGATCCGTTTAACGTTTATTTGGGGCCGCATTGTCCGCGCCGACGCGCGGGCTTTTCTCGGGCTAATTGTATCGCCCTCGCGTCGCCGGCTTTCGCACCTCCGTTTCGGGCCTCGTCGAAGTTATTTTATTTGACCAAGTGGACGGTGTTTTAGTGTTGAGAGTGTGGATTTTAATTTAGCGTGCTGTTCGTCGCTCTTCGAGGCAATTCTCGGTCGTGACTTTCGAATTCTCGGGCCTCCTTCCGTCGTGCTTCGAGCGAACTTGTATTTTTATGGGAATGTTTGGAGAAGTAAGAATTAATTGAGATCGTAATAATATAATAATAGTAATAATAACTTTATTTATCGTCAAAATAAACTCTTTGTTACACTGGGAAAATGTAATAATAATGTAACAGTGACGCAAGTACAGTTAAAACATAAAACCTTAGAACTAAAGAAGAAAAAGAAATGATACCTTTGATAAAAAATGATAATGATAAGAAATGATAATTTTCTACAAAAGTATATTGAATATTAATAATTATTTTTATATTAATTATTATTTTTATTTTTAACATAATTGAAATAAACAAATACATCGTAATCGAAGAAATAAATATTTTAAAGCTTTCGCCTAGATTTCGCGAACGCATGAAATTCGTCTCACCCTTTGCAGACAAGGATTTTACAAAATGTTGCAAATCAAGCTCCGAAAAGCTTTTCAGAGATTCGGTAGCGAGCGAAATTCGAGCAACAATTCTGTGCAAAATTGTCGTGAACCAGGGGAATATTCGTCGATTCGGGGGATCGAATGCCAGTCCGCGGATTTTCAGAGCCCGTTTAATTGCCGAGTTGCGCCGCGGCCGGCCGGTTTTAATTTTCCATTAAATTCCCGGCATGATTAAAGACCGGAACTCTCCCGGTCGAGGTTACGAAAAACAATCGGCCAGCAGGAAGTGCGGCTCGCAGGTCCGAGGCTGAGCCTCGACCTAGCCTCGAGCCGCGTATCTAATGTTTGTCTCTCCGCGTGAAGTCGTATTCACGGCGCGTTTCGCTCGCCCAGCTAATTAGTATGTGCCGCGGTGGCACGTATTAGGCGACGCTCACACTTGCATACGAAACGCACCCACACGTACCTGCGGAACACCCTTTGGATCCCGTCCTTGCGGTCTGCCGGCGAAAAAAAGTCGCGCCAAAGAATTTCAGGAATCCTTCTGGCCGCGAACATTTTCTCACACCGGCCGAGAATCCGTGCCGTCGTCACCTAATTTCTGCTCGTTTTCTGCTCGCTTTCCCTGAAATCTCAACTCCGCAATTTTGCGCTCTGTCGAGACCCTTTCAAGTTCTAAGTTGAAGTTTTTAAATAGAAACATTGACTGTATAGTGATTGCTTATTGGAAATTTAAATTCTACAAGATTCGATAGAAATTTAAATTTGATAGATATTTGATGGAAATTCAAATTTTCACAGATTTTTAGTAGATATTTAAATTTCATAGATCTTCTATAAGTCTGTAAGATCTTTTATAGATCTTCTCTCTTTTATAGAAATTTAAATTCGATAGAAATTTGATGGAAATTCAAATTTTCACAGATTTTTAATAGATATTTAAATTTCATAGATCTTCTATAGATCCGCAAGATCTCTTATAAATCTTCTCTCTTTTATAGAAATGTAAATTTTCCTAGATTTTTGTAAGAATTTAGATGGAAGTTTTGAATTATGGTAGATCGTGCGAAGACTCGCCGTTTATTTAACAGCGTTTCTAATCAATTTAAATCTCATGCAACGAGACACAAAGTCAATACGCATTTTGAAAATGCATACAAAATGCATCGGACGATCTTCTGTGCAACTGCACTCAATAACGCGTACAATTAAATGTATTCGTAAAACGTACATATATTGTATGAATTATGCATCGAATTGTTATGCTCGATTTGTAATCGATTGTTAAATTTCATATCCTCTGTTATGAAACGTATTTCACGTTTTTTTCTACGCAAGAAAACTGCCGTGCGATTACTTAACGTTATAGTTAAGCGCAATCACACGATGAGTCACTTCCGACCCGTGATAAATCTTTTTATCTATTCATTACACGCTAATCTATTGCACTGTGTGGTATCTGTGTGTGCCTCAAATTTTATTATTCGACACCTGATACCACCTAATTCTTTCCTGTATATTAATTGTTCTCTGTTTCGTTTTTGCTCCTTCTTTTTTTTAATAAATTCGAGTAGATCTTGCATTTCGTTTTTGTTAACGCTAGACTTACGGAGCACAAAAAACAGCTGTTTTATATTAGTCTATATAAGCAACGATGAGACATTCATTCTGATTTTTAGCAAGTGTTATTTCAGTGTTTTTGAACGAGTGTTATATAAATCGAAGAAGTAACATATAAATCGAATAAATAATCGAATAAATGTATCCTTACGATACGAATAATCGTAAATTAAAAAATTAGTCATTTTAGTCGTTTTAACGGATTCCATAAATCTAGTGTTAAGATTATTTTCGTCGGTCAGCGATT